TAATAAAACTGAATACAGCGTTGTTTATTATTAGATTACATTACATGTGAAAAATGATTCCATACATCACAAATAATTTGTTTCAAGTTTATGCTACAAATTATGACTTGTCCTGGGTACCTTGTACCAAGTTTTATTGTAATATGCTGAGAAGTACCCCAGATAATACTAAAAGAGCTAACATTGTTATGCAAATTAGATAATTAATATTTACAGATGTCAAACAAAAAAGTAATAAGATCTGGATATTATCACAACGCATCTGTGTATCATGTTTCATTGAGATCAAAACAGTGCATAATATTAATGGAATAAACTAATAATTTGCCAATTATCAAGCAAATTAAATAATTAATATGCATAGATTTCCACCATATTCTAATCAAGTCTGTGCATCACCCAACGCATCTGTGTACCACGTGGAACTGCCAAAAATGGACTCGGGTACATGTATGTACATTAATCCCAGAGTATCTATATACATGTGCCAAGTTTCATTAAAATTTTAACAGAGATTCTTGAGATACTGGTGGAACAGACAGAGTAAACACAAAGACTCCCAATTGTGTGCTTCACACACAGGAATAAAAAATCGAGCATTGTTAAATCAAATGGCAAACAGACTCAGTTTTTCATTTTAGCTTGTCTTTATTTGGACCAGAAATCTTATTTCTGACATAATAGTGATGAAAAATCTCAGAGTGATATTTTTTTTTGATGATTATTGACTAGTTTGTGACAACTTACCAAAATCAGACCTTGTTAATATACATTGGACTGGGTGTTCAGCTGTATGCCTTGTAGTGGTGGCGCCACTCTCGTGGCATGTTGCACATAAATCGTAATCGTAACAAATCAGACACTTGTAACGCTTCCCACGAAAATTTGATTTCAGACATGAGTCACAACTAACACCTGTGATTGAAAAACAGACGATAAAGATAATATAATCTGCATAATCAATGAGTTTTTGTATCTGTAACAAGATTATCATGGACTTTCACATTTGTGTTGAATCAATATATATATTCAGTGTTCTCCCCAAGAATTTGAACCACTGTGGCGGCATATTTTGCATATCATTTGCATATCATTTACATATTAATAGAAATTGAACAAAGCACACACACACACACAATAAACAACATATATTTTCAAAAACAAAGTGGCAGATATTTATTTGCTTTACACAGTGTTATAAACACTTTATTTTGGGCACTTTTGTAATATTAATGAGCTCCGCTCCGTCACAGTGCAAATATTTTTTTTGGAGTCAAAAAATTACGTTTCACAACTTAGAAGAGTTTGAATTTAAAAATGAAACAATCTCGAAATGCAAATGCTGCAGACTAAAAAGAAACAAATTGTAAAAGGTTAAATGAAACTCATCTGAAACGTTCCAGCCAGGATTATGTTCAAGACTTTCACGATCTTATTTACTACAAAATTCTCCTTCAAAAAATCGACCATGTAATTATTTGGCGGATTGCTGGTTATTATTGCGACCATCAGCTTCTACAACGTTTACATTTACAGTAAATGAACGAACAAATAACACTTCCAAACAATCATCAAAGTTACGACGTGACATAACTTACTTCGCGATGTTATACACCAGTTATACCAATAATTTCTCTTACTCAGTCATGATGCCATGCAAAAATTAAATACTTCTTTTTTTATATGAAAAAAACGTAAAATTTGAACTAGTTTTATCGGGAGAAATTATCACTCGATCACTTCGTGAACAAGCAGCCTGTCGGCTGAGATAGCTCTGCTGTTACCAATGCACATTTCAATTAAAGAACAGAAGATATCATTAGAAAATGAACAATATGTATAGTACATTGTATCAAAGCAACGGACCTTGCTGTTTTCAACAAGAATTCAAAAATATCACTTTTCACCAAAAATGACAAAAATAATCATCAAAATTAAGTAATTGAAGATATCACCACGAAATTAACAAGGTCCACATGTAATACCTATATATGTAATATAAAAGCAATCAGACTTCAGAAAATATCACTTTTTACCAAAAATGACAAAAATATTCACCAAAATTAGAGAATTAAAGATATCATTACAAAATGAACAAATTTGAGAGAGGTCCAGATTTAGTACCTATATATGTAATATCAAAGCAATTGGACTTACGGTTTTTAACAAGAAGTTGAAAATATCACTTTTTACCAAAAATGACAAAAATTTTCACAAAAATTAGAGAATTAAAGATACATGTATCATTACAAAATGAACAAATCTGAGAGAGGTCCACTTGTAGTACCTATGTATGTAATATCAAAGCAATTGGACTTTCAGTTTTGAACAAGAAGTTGAAAATATCACTTTTTACCAAAAATGG